GGAAGTGGCGCTGTAGCTCAAGTGGTAGAGCGCTCGTCTTGAGCTGAAGAGCTGAGGGACAGCGCCCAGGCCCAGAGTTCAAGCCCAACGACCGACCAAAAGAAAAAAAAAAAAAGACAACCTTTTTTGTTGGCACTGAAGTTTGAACTCAGGGTTTTGTGCAGGTGCTTTACAGCTCGAACCATGCCTCTAGCCCTTGACAATTCTTTCGAATATGAAAATAAAAGCAATTGGGTGGGCTGGTAAACAGATGGTAGGAAGGTGAAAACCTTATTGGAGAGACTGGGGCTTAACTGGGCACTTGCCTCCTCACCTGGCAAACCCACAAGATCACCTCAGAGCCCACCCCAAGCAAGCGTATCTTACCTGAATCGTAAGCGAAGTCCGTCTGTTCCTGTTTGATCACCACCCCCGCCCCTGGGTACCTGTGTCCACTGACCCCACCCTGGCCCATAGCTGGCTGGCCAGCCTGTTCATACAGGGGGTCATGGTACTCCTGCTTGAAGCTCTGCTGGGGGTAGGGTGGGCAGGGCTCAGACAGCTGGTGCTGGTAGGGGGCTGGAAGGGGTTCCCGGCCCCCTCCCTGAGAAGACGTGAAGGAGTGGCACATATCCAGGGGCTGCTGGAAGATGGAGCTGGATTTGGATGGAGAACGAAGAGAAGAAAATCTTACATTAACCCCTCCTAAGCCTGCCACTCCCAGCTTGTCTCCTTTCTTCCCTCCTCCCACATGCCAGGTCTCTGTAGAGAACTCAGGGATTAAAGCCAGATTGGACAAGTTTGGGTCCCCAAGTGTGCAGTGGGTCTGTCTCCTTACCTATGCTCTCCGAGGTACCCATGGCCAGGGTGGGGCTGAGAGGTGCCAGTGGATCTCAGGAAACTCCGCTGTTCGGCCCTAGGAAAGGGCTGCAAGGGCGACTGTCCAGGGGCACCAGGGGCAGGGGACTTGATGGCGATTTGTCTGGGGGAGTCATAGGCACTGAAGTTGGGGGAGATGGGGATGAGGGGCAGAGAAGCTAGGCAAGCATCTTTGAGCCCTATACCACTAGGGAAGTGAGGACATAGGGATTTTTTTTTGAGATAAATTCTCAAGTACTCTAAGTTGGCCTCAAATTCATGATCCTCCTATTTCAGCCTCCCAAGTGCTGGGATTACAGGCATGTACCACTATGCTTGACACCAAACGAATTACTTACTAATTTCCTTAATGCTAAAACTGGGCCTCACCTTGAGAACAACTCTCCCCAGCACAGAGCAATAGTTTTGGGTGGGATGATAGCAGATCCCTCGACCTTAACAGACATCCACTGAGTGGTCCATTCTGCCTCCTTAGAGGAAACCATTAGCTCCTTAGAGGAGCTAGCAAGTCCTCACTGAAGTCTAACTCGGATCTTCATTGCTGCTTTAGCTCATGGGTGCCTCTCCTTCCCGCCTCTATCCTGTGTCAGAGAGCTCTCTCATCCAGAAACTTGGCCCTTCAAACCTCATCTACCTGGACTAGGACTCACCTGGAATAAAGGCACTGCTCTCCATGGTGGTAGGAGAGTGGTGGCTTCCTGCTGCAGGACACGGCCGGGTCTGCTCGGGGGCTCTGGGGCTCCTTCTTGATCCTGGTGGTGGGGCTGTGGAAAGCTACTGTGGGGTGGGGGACAGGGCAAGGCCAGCATGTGTCACTCAAGAGACAGGTAGAGCTCAGACACCTGCTCTCTGAGGCCCTGCTGGGTGACTTCGATGAGGCCTCTTCTCCAGGTTTTCTGAGATCCAAACACTTGGAACATTCTGGCTACTAAACATTATGTGTAGTTTTATTTGACATTAACCAAAGAAATTGTCTAAAAAGTTCAGCATTTTAAGCCAGATGCTGGTGGATCGTGCCTATAATCCTAGCTACTCAAGAAGCTAACATCTGAAGATCACAGTTCAAAGCCAGCCTGGAAAGACAAAGCTGAGATACACTTGTATCCAATTAACCAGCAAAAAACTGGAAGTAGATTTATAGCTCAAGTTGTAGAGTACCAGCCTCAAGTGAAAAAGGTAACCAAAAACATCAGGCCCTGAGTTCAAGTCCCAGTATTGGCACACACACACACACACACACACACACACACACACACACACACACAATTAAAACAGCAACACAAAGTTCAGCATTTAATGCAAACTCCAGTCTCAGAAGGCAGCTTTGTAGAAGTGAACATCTCCAGCCAGAGCTTTTGGTTTTCCTGAATACCCTAGAAAATTCCAAGAGAAAGTTATGTTTTCTTATTTGGGGCTATAAAAAAAGAAATTTTTCTTTTTTGGTTCAGGTTGGATATTAGCCTACTTGAATATCAGCTGAATAACATTATACACACGCTGCCAATTATCTGTGTAGAACACTGGCCTTTCTTGTGGCCCTTGCTCCAGCCACCAGGCTGAGCCCCACTGTGAGTGATATCCTGGCTTCCTGTGGTCCAGTCAGATGCTGTGGAACGGAAGGTTCTGGTACCTGCTCTTCTCAATGCTTCATTTCATTGCTGCAGATGGCTGGGAGAGCAAAGCATCTGATATCCAAGCATCTTTTCTCGACAGTGACAGTACTGACACTGGGCCCAGGCATTTTGGAGTTGGGGTTGTTGCTGAGCACTGTCAGTTGATATTTGTGTGTGTGTGTACCCCAATAGTGGGGCTTGAACTCAAGGCCTGGGTACTGTCCCTGAGCTTTTTCAAACAAGACTAGTGCTCCACCACTTGAGCCACAGCTCCACTTCCAGTCTTTGGGTAGTTAATTAAGAGATAAAAGTCTCATTGACTTTACTGCCTTGGCTGGCTTTGAACCTCTATCTTCAGATCTCAGCTTTCTGATTCGCTGGGATTCCAGGCATGACTATAGACACTGGTATATTGGATCGTATTACCAGCACTACCAGCCTCTCTGCACTAGATGCTGCTTACATCCAAACCAAAAATGTCTACAGACATTCCAACAGTCTTTGAGAGGGCCAAGTCACCCAAATTGCATGAAAATAAAAAACTAGAACTCAGCCCTAATGAACTAGCCTAGGCTTTCTCATGCACATATAAGGAAATGGAGGATGGGAGAGAGAATGCATCTGCTTTGAGGTCTCACAGCTAGGGAAGGGAAAGCCCAGATTTGAACTAAAGGTCATCTCCCAGTTCCTACCTTAAGACTTGAATCTAAACCCCAAAATGGGGACCCCTGACTTTTACCTTTCCTTTATGAGAGAGCAAGCCATTTTTAGGTTACTCTATCTAAATGTCTTACTTCCTTACATTCCCCAACCCCTGCCCATCTTGGACTCCATTTCCTCTACCCAGAACTCTCTTTCTTTTCTTTTCTTTTTTTCTTTCTTTTTTCCCCCCTCAGTCCTGGGGCTTGAACTCAGGGCCTGGGCACTGTCCCTGAGCTCCTTCTGCTCAAGGATAGCACTCTACCACTTGAGCCACAATACTACTTCCAGCTTTTTCTGTTTATGTGGTACTGAGGAATCAAACCCAGGGCTTCATGCATGCTAGGCAAGCACTCTACCACTAAGCCACATCCCCAGTCCCTACCCAGAACTCTCTACTCACAGTTTTCTGAATGGAAATCAGGAACAAACTGCTCATCACTGTCCGGTACCTGAGCTGCAGAGAGAGGTTAGAGGTGAGTCTGGGTGGAGCCATGGGTGGCAGTCTCTAGGAGACACCAGTATTACTGCCACCTTGAAGACAAGCACAACTCAGGAGAGGCCTAGAATTTTCTTTAGACTGAGAGCAACTCCATCCCAGATGCTGGTGCTTTCCATATCTAGGAGACAAGATTCTGAGAACCTGTTAGAGTAGATTGTAGGCTTTTCCTAGATGCTTTGTCTCTCTTCGTTCCATTTTTCTGAAGTATAGACAGATCTGCCCTTCACCTTCGCAGTTTACAAAGCTCCCTCAGAACTCACAGAAATCACATGTGGTGTAGTCCCAATGTTTGAGAGCCTATGCATTTGCAATCAAATGAGGGAAATTTTGAACTTGAGAATCTGCATTTCATTTCCCAGGTAAATTCTGAGATAGATGCCCAAGAGTTCTAGAACTTGGGAAAGGTGGTAGAATGGAGGAAAGAAAAGGTTCAAGAAATAAAAAGGAGCCAGGAACCAGGGGCTCACACCTGTAATCCTAGCCACTCAGGAGGCTGAGATCTGAGGATCACAGTTCAGAGCCAGCCTGGGCAGGAAAGTCCTTGAGACTTTTATCTCCAATTAACCACCAGAAAACCAGAAGTGGTGCTGTGGTTCAAGTGGTAGAGAGTTAGCTTTGAGCACTAAGAGGCTCAGAGACAGTGCTAGGCCCTGAGTTCAAGCCCTATAACTGACCAAACAAACAAACAAACAAATAATAAGGGCTTGGTGTGGATGACTCATATAATTCTAGCTGGTAAAGAAGGCTGAGATCTGAGGATCTCAGCTTGGTAAGGAAGGTCTATGAGAGGAATACAAGCAGACTAGATAGTTGTCTACTCCCCCAGCATATGCAAATATTCACTCCTTCTCTTGACCTGGGAGGAGGCCAGGTCAAGTCTCCACAATTTCTGACTTGGACTTTAGCCACAGCCTCTTATCACAATGCCCTGCTTCTCCTCCCAGCCTCCTACTGGCCAGCTGAGGTTCTCTATAATCTTTTTTGTGTTTGTGTGCCCATCCTAGGGCTTGAACTCCCGGCCCAGCTTTTGTTGTTTTGTTTTCTATCGTTCATGGGGCTAGACGCTGTCCCTGAGCTCTTCAGCTCAAGGATAGCACTCTACCACTTGAGCCATAGTGCCACTTCCAGCTTTTTCTGCTTATGTGGTGCTAAGGAATCGAACCCAGGGCCTCATGCATGCAAGGCAAGCACTGTACCACTGAGCCACCTTCCCAGCCCCCCCGGCCCAGCTTTTTCAATCACAGCTAAAGCTCTACCACCCAAGCCATACTTCTACTTTTGGCTTTTTGTAGGTTAATTGGAAATTAAGAGTCTCACAGATTTGTCTGCCCTGTATGGCTTCAAACTATGATCCTCATATCTTAGCCTCCCGAGTAGACAGGATTCCAGGTGTGAGCCACTGGCGCCTAGCAGTCATCTTTTTATTTATGCATTTATTTATTTATTTATTTTGGGGTCTGGTCGTGGGGCCTCAACTCTGGGCCTAGGCACTGTCCCTCAGCTCTTCAGCTCAAGGCTAGCGCTCTACCACTTGAGCCACAGCGCCACTTCCGGCTTTTTTTCCCCCTTTTTGCTTATGTGGTGCTAAGGAATCGAATCCAGGGCCTCATGCATGCAAGGCAAGAGCTCTACCACTGAGCCACCTTCCCAGCCTGAAGTCATCTTTTTATAACAGCAATTAAACTGTTTCTTTCTTGCCTAAAAGATGGAATTCAATCTCTGAGGCCTCATATGTTCTGGCCCTGCTCACCTGTGGTAGATTTTTCCTCCCTCCCTGTCACTCCCCAGCACTCTGGTGTATCAGGGCCTTATATTCCCCTTTGACTTTTTCACTCAAGGCTAACCCTACCACTTGAGCCAATTAACCACCAGAAAACCAGAAGTGTCACTCTGGCTCAAGTGCTAGAGTACTGGCCTTAAGCTGAAGAGCTGAAGGACAGTGCCCAGGCCCAGAGTTCAGGCCTCATAACCAACAAAAAACAAACAAAAAAGAACCTATAGCTAAAGAACTTGTAGTAGTATGCTGGTGGCTCATGTCTATAATTGTAGCTACATAGGAGGCTTAGATCTGAGGATCATAGTTTGAAGCCAGCCTAGGCAGGAAAACCCATGAGACTCATCTCTAATAAACCACACATCTACATCCGAAAAGTTGGAAATGGAGCTGTAGCTCAAGTGGTAGAGCACTAGCCATAAGAAAAAGGAAAAATAAAAGCTCAGGGACAGTGCTCAGGCCTAAGTTCAATCCCTAGGACAGAAAAAAAGAACTTGTGACAAGATAAGATACAATCCTAAAGTGATCAAACAAATTGGTAGGACATTAAATCCCTTCATACACATGTGCACGCGCGTGTGTGCACACACATATACACAGCCCCATGCACACATACACACCTCACATCTACAACCCAAAGGCAGCCACCCCTTGACTGTCCTTATTCAATAATCACCTGGGCTCTATTAGAAACTCCAGGCTTTATCCTGGGCCAGAGGTGGCCCAAGCACCTGAATTTGTAACAAGGGCTTCTGGGAATCTTTAAAAACAAGCTCATTTGGAAAGTACTGGATAAAGAAAGGCATGAAAAATCTGCTCGGCTGCTCTTGGTATTAAGACCAAGTTCACTCTAGTCTACTGATCCAAGATATACCCCATAGATGACAGAAAGGGGTGATGGGAACTGGGTGAACATTTCCTCCCTGTGATTTAGGCCAAGAGGCTCCCCAGGGCAGGTGAGATGCAGGACTTGGGAGTGGCTGACGCACTCTGGGGCCCCTCTTGAGGCCTCATTAACCATCCGTTTCCATTGAGGTAATGGGCCAGGGGCATCTCCTGCTGACGTCACTGGACTAGAGATGAGAGAGCCCTGTGGCCTTTCCTCCTGCCTCCAGCCTGAAAGTTAGCCAAAACTCCCAAGAGAAAGCCTTCTCCCCAGCTCATGGATTATACCCTAAAAGAGGTGGTACCATCTCCCTCCCAGAACCCCTGCACAGCTGATCCCCCAAACACTGGCCTTCTCCCAAAGGAATAGGACGGGCCCCACAGGCACCCAGAGACTATCAACAAAAATAGAAATAGGAACCGTAACCCAGAACTGCGCGTTCCTGGAGAGCAGGAGAATTCTGAATTACCATCTTTGGTTTTGAGAGGTCACCACTGTATTTGTTAACTTGGCTGCATTTTGACTACGATGCCATTATGCCAGGGTCTGTGCCCCCAGCACTAAGGTAGGTTTGATCTGCCCGGGAACATGGCAGATGATTAAGGAGGGGGAAAGGAAAATGCCAAACCAGCTTAGTGCCTAGAGAAAGAGACAAAGAGAATTTTAGAGTGTCTCCCCCTCCCTGCCACCAAAGTCAGTAAACATAGAGGAAGGGCTTGAAGGCCTCTCAACATGGGACCCAGAAGAATTGGAAGTTAAAACATCTCAGCCTCAAAACCCATGAATAAGCCACACATCTAATCCCATACAGGCTCTGCTACCTTCCGGAGGGCCAATTATAGGTTGAAGGGGCTGGAGACAACCAGAGAAGCTTTGGCTCCATTATGTCACACCACTGGCCTCAGCTCCCACCCTACCCTGCCCCCACCTGGCAGCTCTATGCTGGGAGAAACCAGTTCTCTATCTGTGGAGGGGACATTGGTCTCCAGGAGCCTTCTGGAAATGGACACAAAGATGGAGAAGAAGGCACTGAACTGAGAAAACCTGAGGAAGAGACAGACATGTGGAGTCACCAGCACGAATGCATAGGGACTCACACTCCCGCAGCAATGCCGCAGCCCTTCACACTGAGGGCTCTCTCTCTCTCTCTTATTTATAGATATGGCTTGGAGGGAAGGGGAGCCAAGGGACTAGCAGGTGGGAGTCTTTGGAGAGGGGTTGGGAATGATGATTCCTTTGAAAAAGAGAGCACACACCCCGTCTTCAGATTCTGATCAAAACCACTAATTGCCGTTTTCCTAGAAAAATCTATATGCCTTCATGTACAGTACACCCCCAACAATGTCCATGCAGTAATAGAGAGATCAAAGACCCTGCAACCCAGCCACAAAGCTGCTGGAAAATTCCCAGACCCCAGCCTCATACAAAGGACACACATGGCCCAGTCAACATTCTCTACTACTTGAGTCCTCAAGGGTTCCCAAAGACTCCAGAAGAGCCTGGAAAAGAACCCTTAACCAGACCAAGTACATCAGACCCATCTCAGGCTTAGCCTAAGCCTGGCTTTCCCCATGGCAGTCTCTAGGCATCTCAACAGATCCCAAGCATTCAGAAACCAGAAATGCCCTCCTAGCCTCATTTTGTCCCCTCTGTCTGGAAAGGAAAACTCAACCCCAAAGATTTCTGAACACACACACACACACACACACACACACACACACACACACACACGGTCCTATCAACACTCATCATCAATGCCTAAACAGCAGTCACTGAAACCGCAACCACATCTGCATCTATAGATTCCCTGCTCCGATCCAGCCTGGTCATCTCCCAAATTCTGCCCAGCCACACCCACACTACAAGGATCCATTGCTTCTCTCCAAATTGGGGCTTTAGGAAGAAACCAAGCAGAGAAAGGGGGGGTTGTATTTTAGCCCCCATTCTTCCTAATGTACCCCATCACTGGGAAGTTTCCAATGGTGACAGTCCCTCCTTATAACCCCAAAGCTCCCCCTGGGCTGCAGAGGACACTGACCTGGTGGGAAGAGGCAGGAGAAGAGGCCTGGGTGGTGCTGAGATGGTGCAGGGGGACAGGGCCCCGGCAGCTGCATCTGTCTCCGCAGAGAGAGTGAGAAGGAACGAGTGGCCTCAGCATCCCCCCCTCAGGCCTGGCCATCCATTGCCAGCTGGGAACCTGAGCTGCTCCCTCAGAAGGAAGGAGAAGGAACCAAGGAGATCCCAGCGCCCCCCCTCGCCTTGCCTTCCCCACCCCCACCTCCCCACCCACTGGATTTAAATGTACAGGGACTCCCAAGGCAGTAGCATGTAACATGCGCGCGCGTGCGCATGCACACACGCACACATACACACATGCAGAGGCACAATGACACACACAGACACATGGACCATCTCTAAATCCACCACTAAAGGGTAGGGCTCCCCAAGGTTGAAAGATAAGAACATTTCCAACCCCCGTCCGATCCCAAACCCAGGCACAAATTGGCCAATTGCTGCCAAAATGCCACCCTGAGCCTACCCCTTGCTCACAGCCCTGGAACAGCCCACTGAGCTCAGCTGACAGACAAGGAAGGGAGCCTGGCAAGCCAAGACTGAAGTCAGAAATCAGGTGATGGGAAAGGAAGTCTTTGAAAGCTCATGGAAATTGACACCTCCAGATCTTCAGCTCCAGCCCAGCCCCGGAACCTGGAGAGGGGTGGGCTGACCAAGTAAAGGTCTCTGCCTGTTTAACTCTGAGCTGGGCACACAGGACATGACAGCACCTGGGAAAATGTGCATATTACTCCAGAACCTATACTCCTCCAGCACCTACACAGTCCATCAGTTTACTTTATTCTAGCAAATCCCTGCAGGGTACACTCTGTGATAAGTCATTCTGTCAACAGAATATATTTTGGAGACACTGAGATGTCCGAGATAGACCCAATCTCCCGTCCTTGGATTTGGTCAGGGGTCTTTTTTGCCTACCTAAATTACCTCTACAGAGTGTCCTGGGGGAGGCGGACTTGGGCTTTAAATTTTCCTAATAGAGGTATTCACGTTAAAGAAAGGGAGACCCTGAGAAAGAGAAAAACCCTAAAGTGGGGGTGGGAGGGTGTCCTGGTGTTTTGGCTTCTTGGTTTTCAGTGTTAAAAGCAATGTTAGCTAAGATGGGGGTGTTAACCTTTTCCTCTCAGAGTCTCTCTAAACTACCAAAATGCCTCCCACCTGCAGCACCACACCAGTAAGTGCAACCAGAACACACTGCTCCACCCTGACCAGCTCCAGCCACTGGCCCCATCCTGGTCAGCTCCCTAAGTCATCCTCCCCCACTTCCAACACACAAACACACACACACACACACACACACACACACACACACACAGCATACAGGAAGAGGGGAACTGGCCTGGGGGTGGAGGTATTCAGGAGGGATGGAGAGAGAACCAGTTGCCATTAGAATTATAATCAAGGCTATTTGGGGAGGCAGTCCTGGGTGCTCTTTGCCAAAGTACCAAGAAAAGAATTATTGAAACTTTTGTTGTTCTTTTGGCTTGGGCAGTAAATTGGCCCTCAGAGTTGAGAATAGGCACCAAGGGGGGGGGGGAGAATAAGAACCAATGTTTTGGTAACTCCAGAAGATAAGTAACAAATTATTTGCTCCTTCGCCTTATCCCTCACTTACTGTTCCCACCTCAACATCCCAACACACACCTAGGCCTAGAGTTTTCTGCCAAACAAACTTTGCAAATGAAAATCTCAACCAGGAAAACGGGCCTGGGGCCAAGTTCCATTCAAATAAGCAAATACCTCACACAATGGTCTGATTCATCCCCAGGCCTAGTTACACAAGCCTGGCTCAGGGCAGAGAAAATAAATATCAATATAAGTGTCCACCCAGAACAGTAAGGAGAGTGGAGTGGCTGGGGACTTGGGGAGGGGGCTTTGGAGAAGCTTTGAGTCAGGGAAGGGGACAGAAGAAGTGGGCAACGTCAAGTACTACCCCCCCCCCAATAGAAAAAGCCACAAAACAACTTACCTTCAGCGAGCCACGTCTCCTGTAAGTGACTTAGATCCTGGAAGAGATCTGAGGGGCGGATAATGGAATTGGTACTGGGGTGGAGGAGAATACGGTGGGAGAGCCCCAGCGAGGCGCGATGACCCCCTCCCCACTGGGAGTAGCACTGAAAAGATGAACAGAGTCCCAGGGAGCGTGAGTCCTTTTAGAAAACATTCCTCTTGGGTGAATGTTTTCAGGATTGGCCGGGTGGGTTGGGGGGGCGTGTGGGTGGGGAGAGGTTCGCGGTTTGTCTCTTCTGGTTCTTTACCTTCGGAGTCGGAAGGAGGTAGGGAGCCCGGGTCCATGAGCTTCCCCTGCGGGACCATCAGCGTTTCACGCAAGCTCCCATTTCCGGGAGATTTCTGCGAGAAGGGGGGAGAATGCCCTCGAGTTACCCAGAGGCGTTTAGTCTGGGGGGGGGAACAGGGTTGGGGGTACTGGGGGGGGATGTTCAGGATCCCGCTGAGATCGCGGGGAGGGGGCGAGCAGGGGCGGGGAGCAGGGCAGGGGCGGGTGTAGAGGCGGGCGCGGCGCTCACGCTGCAGAAGGTGTAGGGCACTTGCTGGTCCAAGTATCCGCCTTTCATCCTCCGCTCCATCCGGCCGCTCCCTGCGGCTACACGGCCGGGGCCCCGCGCGGGGGCAGAGACCTGGGGGCGGCGGGGGGTTGCGTTCGCACACCGTCCGAGGGGGAGAGCTGCGGTGGGAGGGGATTGGGATGGCGGGGAGGGGTCAGTCCTGAGGGTCTGGGTCCGACGGCGAAACTTCTCCGACTCACTGGGACAGCGGGAGAGGTTTCGGCCTCCCGGGGCCTTTCTCGGTTTGTAATTCGCTCCCGCCAAGGGAGGTCCCACCTGCTCCCGGGGGCCGGGATCGCTGTTTCTGCTTTCTGCAGACCTGCTTTGCTCGGGCTAGGTTACATAAGATTTGGGCGCGCGCGCGCGTGTGTGTGTGTGTGTGAGTGTATGTGTGTGTTCGCGCGCGCGCGCAGGAGCGCACACAAATCCTCACGCCCACGACTCCGGCGCCCCCTCCAACCTCAAATCCCAACGCCTCCCACCCCAGGCCTTGGAATCTGCGGAGGCGGGTGGTGAGAAGAGAGTGCGGTGTGTAGGAGGCAGAGGGGGGGGGGCGGAATCACAGACACCCTCCCTTCCTCCCCCCGGCCCTCTGTAGCCTCACCTGAGGCCCGGCCGTCTGCGCTGGAGTCCCGGGAGATGCTGAGCATACACTAGGGACGACTCTAAGGATCGAGGGGCTAGGCTGGAGCAAGGCGGTCCCAGCCCCGGGTCCCCCGCGCACCGGCTTGTTTTCCGGGCGCCGCAGACAGTTGTGAGCCCGGGGGAACAGCTGATTGGTGCATTTCCTTTGCTTCGGCCTCGACTCGCGCTTCCCCCCCGCCTCCCCATTCCCTTTGTTTCATTGACTTTTGTGAATGAAACCCCAGGGCCGGGCACGCCCGCCAATCCGGAGACTCGTCCAGCCGAGCCTGGGGGCGGAGTTTCCCAGACGTAAGAACCAATTAGGATGTAGGGGCTGGCTCCAACTTCATTCACGTCCCGAGCTTCCATTCATAAAAAAATAAACTCCTCACGGCCCGAGTTCATTCATAAAGAACGGAGAAAAAAGGAGGGAAGCTGAGGATCGGGCAATTTCTCCACTGGGCTTGACTTGGCCTTGGGTCTGAGTAGCGGTCAGTTCTTTCGGATGGCGTTGGCACCTGTCTGTATGTGTGATGTGAACATGTTTGTGTGTGCGCTGGGGGAGGGGGTGGGGATGGGTGGGAGGAATAATAATTAGCATTTATGAAGCGCTCTGCTTCCACGTGCTCGTTTCCTTCCCCACAACCTGGTGCGGTGGATCTTTTGTTTCCATTTTACAGATAATGACAGTGAAAGCTCGGAAAGGGTTGTTACTCACCTGAGGTCATTCTCAGCTAATCAGCAAGACTATAGTTTATGGCTTCAATCCCTGAAGGTCTTCTGAGCAGTCCTCTGGGGACAGGAATAAATTAATAAATCCATGTGACAGCAACAGATACACAGTAGGTGCTCCACAAATGTACATTGACACAGAATCCAGGCTTTTCCTTAGGGATCTATGCTCTGCCAAGCTGTTTTGTGACCCACTTTCTATTGATTGCTGTAAAACCAGAGACTCCAGGATGGATAATTTCTGAAAGGGGAACTTCCTCTGAGCCACCTCCCCTCCTATCTGAAAGCAAGTGATGCATTTTTAGAAAGAAGAAGCTCTCAACCCCCAAGTGATCTGATGCTCTAAGGACAAGAAAGGTTTCAGTTTTGTCCAAGAAGCTAGTCATCATTCTTCCTGTCATTTACTCAGTCATCACTTCAATAATTATCATGCCAAACACAGTGCCAGGTGTCAGGTAGGCAGCTGTTATGACCTAGACAAACATCTGCCAGGAGTTGGGTGGGCTGTTCCAGGACTTGTCTGGATCTTCCGTCTATGTGTATGAACTTTCTTTGAGGAAAACCCGGGTTAGTTTATGATTTCACAAGGAAACTCTCTTTAATCACAAAGGACTGATTCTTTCTTTCTTTCTGCCTTCCTTCCTTTCTTTTCTTCTTTCCTTTTTTGAATTGGTACTGGGGCTTGAACTTATGGCCTGGGCACTGTCACTGAGCTTTTTTGCACAAGGCCAGTGTTGTACCACTTTGAAGTACTTCCAGTTTTCTGGTGGTTAATTGGAAATAAGATTGTTGCTGACTTTCCTGCCCAAGCTATCCTTGAACAGTGATCCTCAGATCTCAGCCTCCTAAATAGCTAGGATTACAGGTGTGAGCCACCAGCGCCTGGCTTCCCTTAGCTTGTTTGCTCAACACCAGAGTTCTACCATTCAGCCACAGTTTCACTTCTGACTGTTTGCTAATTAATTGGAGATAAGAGTCTCACAGATTTTTTTTTGCTCAAGATGACTTGGAGCCTCAATCCTCAGATCTCAGCTTCCTGAATAGCTAAGATTTACAAACAAGTGTTTGAGAAGAGTCTGCTTTCAAAATATATCTAATCACACCCTCCCACTCTGCAGATGAAGTAGTGGAGGTCCAGAGATAAAATGGTGCATGCAGGTTCTTTGAGCCCAACTGGGACAGAGCCTGGGACTAGACTATTGATCCCTTGTTTAAGCTTGTTCCACAAGATCAGCTTTGGCTGTTAAAAAATAATGCCCCTCTCTTCTCTGATAAAATATTCTTTGAGGCTCACATCAGTGGGTATTTTTTCCTCCAGGAACCCTTCCATGATAGTTTGAATTTGTTCCTTAAGCATCCTTGCCCCTATGTTTGGTTCAGCTTCGTGGTACAAACATCCTAGGTAGGAGAACTCTCCAGGGCCTGGAAGAGGTCTCATTTGTTTTTATAAACTTTTTCTAAACCACTTTCATGAACCAGAGGGTTATACAAAAATCAGTTTGTCAAGAGAATAGGCACAATAAAGACTAAAGTAATGGATCTGTACCTGAGTCCTACCAGAGGAAGGAGAGACAAGCCCAAGCAAGTCCCAGCTTTGAGCGGATGGAACCAGTTTAGGTGGGGAGCACTGGGGGAGGAGGATAGCTCTGATGTGGTCTCCATGACAATGAAGATTCCAGTGGGTCTCTGAGTGGGCACTGGGCAGTCCAGTTGGGACCTGTCTAGGGGTGCCTGTCTGGTTCTGAGTTCTTTCATTTCTCTGGAGGGCCCTGGCATCTGTTTCCCCTTCCTGTTCCCCACCCCCTACCGCCCCCAGCCCTGGCAGAGATCGCCGGGCCTACTTCCCTAGTATCTCGCTCAGCCTGCAGGCTAAGCGAGAGAATGTACCACCCGCAGTAGCTGCCACTGTTGTCACTGGTGGCTGATTGAATGCCCAGGCTGGTAATTGTTACATCTTCCAAGCTCTTCCATGGCCCAAAATAGGTGAGCAGAGAAGACATAATGACAGAGGCTGAAATCACATAGTATCTGACACTGAACGAGAGAGCCTGCTTCTGTGTACTCTATTGTAGGAGCAAACCCTGCATTAGCCCCAGCAACCTTCCCCTGATCCTTCTCATATTACAAATGAGATGGCTGAGGCCTTCCAAACATGTGCCTACACAACAGACAGGACTCACAGGCATGCAGACTTTTTTGTGTGTCACCAGTATTAGGGCTTAAACTTAGGGCTTGGGTATTCATTTTACCATTTGAATCACAGCTCCACTTCCAGCAGCTTTTTGCTGGTTAGTAAGAGTCTCATGGATTTTTCTACCAGGGCTGCTCAGATCTCAGCCTCCTGAGAAGCTAATAGAGGTGTGAGCCACCAGTTCTGGGCTCACGAAAAACCTTTTGAGGGGAAAAAAAAACAGGCCAGATGGAGAACATAGCTGTACCCAAGACACACACACACACACACACACACACACACACACACACACAATCTCTCTCTCTCTCTTTCTCTGTCACTCTGTCTCTCTATCTGTCTCTATCTCTGTCTCTCACTCTCTCTCACACACACACATACACACACAAACACACACAGATAACACATGGACACACAAGGACATACCCAGGTACCTGGATGTTCACAGAACCTGACAGTACCAGTTGCTCTGCACAGGTAAAGGCTTTCTTCAAACTAATAGATTGGGGACTGGACTCTGACTTGTTTCCTGGGACTCTAAATTGTAAAAATGTAAATGTGGGTTTTAGATATGCTAATATACATCCAAAGGCAGCCCAGGGATTTTGCTAGGAGCTGAAAGACCAGAGTTTAGGGATGAGGGGGAGAGGAAGCTGCCCCAGGGGCCTGAATCAGACAAGAAGATGGTCCTCCCCATGCAGGATTTTGAGACTGAGTGGCAGAGGGCCATGATCTGGTCCTCCAGGTTGGCTTTTAAGGGGACATTCAGAAAAAAGATGCCGTTCTTGGACTTCATTTACTCTGCCTCATGCATTACTTCCTCTAAACCACAGAGGTTCGTTCAGTTCCATGAATGTACACCCCAAAATCAACAGCCTGCATCAATGTGTGTATGTGTGTGTGTGTGCATTTTTCCGAAGCCTTCATGAAGATCATGGGGTGGGGGGAGTGGGAGATGGGAAGGGGAAACAAAGGAGGAAGCAACAATGCTTGATAAGAAATGTACTCATGGGGCTGGGAAGGTGGCTCAGTGGTAGAGCGCTTGCCTTGCAAGCCTGAGGCCCTGGGTTCGATTCCTCAGCACCACATAAGCAAAAGAAAAAAAAGCCGGAAGTGGC